GCCACGGGGCGAAGCGAAGGAGCCCCTCGGCCTCCCGCCGCGCTCGCTGCGCGCGCTGCTGCCAGCACTGCAGCGAGCACCTGCAGAGCCCGATCCATCAGGGCTGTCAGGAGCCGCCAGCTCACGCAGCAGCGCCGCGGAGCCGGGCACAGCGACGTAGGGCCCGCGCGGCCCCAAACCCATGCAGCAGCCAGGGGACAGACAAAGTGACAGCAAAGGGGAGCGGGGACAAGGATGTCCTCCCATTGGGAGGGTGATGTGACAGCCAGACCCTGGCAAACAGGGACAGACCCCTCAAAGGCTCCTCAATCCACCACCACTGGCTCCCAGTGCCCCACAGCAGCAGGTCCTGGCCAGGGGCCATTCCTGGGGCTGTCGAGACACCGGGATCCGGCTGTCAAAGCCAGAACGGTTCCAGGGCGGGTGTCCGAGCTTTCCCTGCTGCTCTTAGGGGACAGGCCCCGGCACCCGGCCCATCCCGAAGCGCCGCAGCCACCTCCTCACCTCCTCCCACTGGTGGATGTAGCGGATGAGCCGGGAGAGGCGGAGGAGCCGCAGGAGGCTGAGGATCTTGGTGAAGCGGACGATGCGCAGGGCTCGGGCCGTCTTGTACACCTCCGAGTCGATGCCCTTCTCCACAATGAGGAACACGTAGTCCACGGGGATGGAAGAGACAAAATCCACCACAAACCAGGTCTTGAGGTACTTCTTCTTGATCCTCTCAGGGTCCAGGATGATCTCCGTGTTGTCCTCGATGACAATCCCCGTCCGGAAGTTCAGCACCAGATCCATGAGGAAGAAGGTGTCGGAGACCACGTTGAACACGATCCAGGGCGCCGTGGTCTCCTCCTTGAAGAAGGTGATGCCCACGGGAATGATGATCAGGTTGCCCACCATAAAGAGCAGCATCGTGAAGTCCCAGTAGAACCTGGGGAAGCAGAGGGCAGAGGGGGTGGCCAATGCCCACCCGGATGGACCTGGCGCTTCCCGCATCACCCAGGCCCTCTCTCCCGCTCCTGGCGGGCTCATCCCTGCTCCTGTCGGCCAAGCCATGGTGGGGGGCTGGCCCTGCAGCCCAGCTCGGTGCCGCCGGCTCAGCCAGGGCTGGGCAAGGCAGGGAGAGGGTGCAGGATGCTCAGGGGGGGCTGTTCCTGCTGTGCGTGTTGGCCTGGAAGCATCGGAGCCACGCAAGCCCGAGATGCGGGGACGGGGAGCCGGGGCCAGGGACGGGGAGCCAGGGCCAAGCGTCGCGGCTGCGCGGGGCTG